TTTTCTGACAAAATAAAGTGAAACCAGCCTCTACGACTACTAAATATAGGCACGTACAGCGTGCCTGTGTCTATTATTAAGGTTAAATAGTGTCCAGAACTTCTTTTCTTCATAAACCATAAGATCTTATTAACATTAGTTGAAGATTATTCTTGTATAGTCCTCTATTGCTTTGGCATCGAAAACGTTATTAAATAACAAGCACCTCGGACAGACACTTTTTGTTGTGCATCTTTGGGACCAGTCATAATTTTTCTCTAGGGGGATGATGGAGGATTTCGGGGGAGGGGTATCCCATGGTATTCAGGGGGAACAGAGAGGGCTCAGTCACTGACAAAGTTAAGAGCCAAGTAATGGGCTCAGGGGAGAGTATAAAAGGAGGATTTCATTTTTAACTAACTGCAAAGGAGGGGGGGTAATCTTAAGAATATCAGAGAGCCTTGTGGAGGGGGGGGGTTTTAAGTAAAATTTCTCGTGACACAAAAAAATCCCTCAACCCATCCCTATTTCCCCGCCGGTGACAAATAATGACCGCTCCCATAATGTCTCCCTGCGCAAGTGAAGTAGACACAAAATTTACACTTTTCATAGAGGATCGATGTGGTCATGCCGCCGACCAACGAAACGCCGCATCGAGGCTTGTCGGTACAAAGAATTCCATTGGAATTTAACAACCTCATCGGGAAAAAAACAAATTAACAATGCGTAAAACGAAGTCAAAACAGATTCATTGCTAAAAACAAACAGAAAGAAAGGTGGGCAAAGCAAGCAAGGTGATAAGAAAAACGCTAATGGAAACGGGCTTCCTCGGAATTATCTCAACGCTTTGGGAAATGTGACAGATATTTCTATCTTTTGTGCGGTACAAGTCGCGATGTAAACAAATTAATGTAAGCAGATCGAGATCCTAGACAAAAGCCCACGAACACTCTGCTGGAGGCTTGTAGAATTATGACATAATTTTGATTACTACACCTGCCATTATTCGGCTCTAGTTCCCCTAAAACACCCTTTCGGTTGTATCTCGCGGTCTTTGTCATTCAGTTTTCGAAAAATTAAACTCAAATGGTTTCCCTAACGTAACAGAAATTAGAAAGAAGATTTTTAAAAATTGATTTGATTTGGTCGACGGCAGCCTTAACCTCCATGGAGGTTGCTTTCATATCAGATTTCAAGTTACCGTTAAAAATGATCAACTGAACTGATCCCGAAACTGCTGGAGCTAAGTATATTCAATTTCTGAGTAACCTTTTTGTATGGCAGTACAGTATCGACAAGACTAAGCCTTATTGCTCCATGACAAAATATATTCATCATAAAGCCAATATATGGATAGGCTCGATTTCCGCCGCTCTCTCAGGTTCGATCTTTTTCGCTCCTCCCCGAAAAGAGAGCTTCGGGAAGGAGCGCGGGCTCTGGTTCTCGAGCAGCGGCTGCACCTAGCCTGCTCAAAAGTCTTAAAGCGCACCTAAACCCAAAAATTTTTTTTCGCTTAACGAAATAAGCTTATTTTTTGGAGTATTTCTGTGCAAAAATTTTTTAATTTGCTCAAATCTTTAATTTTCTGTGCCCAGTCAAAATACGGAAAATCGGCCGCCATCTTGCCCCACGACCGAGTTTAAAGAGGAATGGCTCTAGCGGGTAATGTGACGTCAAATCGAGAACACGAAAGTCTGCATTTCACACATTTTCACTTGTTTGGGAAGGTTGTCGTCGATATTGTCCGAAATATGCCGACTAGGTGTGTTGTATGAGGAATGTATGAAGCGCGATACCCTCTTGCAAATTTCGCACGTTGCTACATCCTTCTACAACACACTTAGTCGGCATATTTTCGGACAATATCGACTACAACCTTCCCAAACAAGTGAAAATGTGTGAAATGCAGACTTTCGTGTTCTCGATTTGACGTCACATTACCCGCTAGAGCCATTCTTCTTTAAACTCGGTCGTGGGGTAAGATGGCGGCCGATTTTCCGTATTTTGACTGAGCACAGAAAATTAAGGATTTGAGCAAATTAAAAAATTTTTGCACAGAAATACTCCAAAAAATAAGCTTATTTCGTTAAGCGAAAAAATTTGTGGGTTTAAGTGCACCTTAATTTTATTTTATCAACTGAGTTGATAATGTGGATTGGGCACCCTTAAGAGTCAGATTGTAAAGCTGACGTCTTCATCGTTGCTTATACAAAGGGCTAACTCTGGAAAGTTCAACTTTAGAAAATAAATATAGAGGCAAGACCGATACAACGTAGATAAGTTTTAAGACGGAGCACTATATTTCGGCTGGCCAAACCAACCTTCTGCAGGTGCAGTGGGAATTGATATAGAATTAAGGTGGTACTTAGATAGCTGTGTGATGTGATAGCGGAAATACGTAAAACTACTTTGATTGACAATAAGATAACAATTAAAAATAGAAATAGTAAATAAAAATAGAAGTAAAGTAGGGTAAATTGAATAAATTAAATAACTAAAGGTAAGAATAGTAGAGGGAAAAACACTAATACATTTCTTCGCGAGCGTTAAGGCCATCGGGATAAATAGTATTGCCTCTTGAAATTAAAAAAGCTTCCCTGGCCTTGCGGATCGAGTCTCTCTTAGACAACACTTTTTCGATGGCAATTAGCTTTTTAGATGGCTATCGTCCACGGTTGCTTTCTGAACATTTCACAACTTTAGAAACTCTCTACTGCAGCCAATTTACACTATCGACTCACGCTAAAACCTAATTATCTCGCCATACCCCCCACCGACGCAACACCACAGTTTCTTTAGAAACTTAGCTTCTATAGAAACTTAGCTTCTATGTTCAAATTCTGTTATGTCAAGTCAACAGTCAGAGATTAAAAGTGCAAAATGCCGACATGAATTCAGAACCAGGTTAATTTTCAAGGTTTACTGGGTGTAGCATTCTAACGGTTGATTCAATAAAAACAACTTATTGAATCCAAATATTTGAACGATGGAGGCGCCTAAATACCAAAACAAGTCGCTGAACCATTCATATGTAAATGACTGAAAATATTTCAAGATAATTCCAATGTAACTGAGTGAACGTGAATAATCGCGCTAACAAATCCGACGCTTCAAAGATAAAAGAAAACATGCACTTTTAACAATTTTCACGCAGATAACATATTGGTAAATTTCCGCCAAAACAACTTTCTGCGACGCGAGCGCGCCCGCTTGCGTAAGTATGACGAAACGATGAAGGGACTGTAACGAAAGACCTGAGGTGTTCGCATTCTTTATTTTGTACGGCCTAATATATTGATATTTGTGCAAATTGATTTATTTTCGTGCGGCTTTGAAATCTTCAAACTATTTTCATTTTAATTGCCTGTCTTCGATGTTTCTTGACTGAAAACTTTTCACTGGTCTTATCTTGTAAATTGCAGAATTGGTCTAAAACCAAGAGAATATGAAGTTTACATTCTCTTACTGAATGCGAACATATTGCACACTGGCCTGATGTCATCTTAAACAGAGACTTTCTATACCAAAAAAATGGCCTAAAGACCAAGAAGGCAATGTTAAAGCATTATCGTTGTTTTGTTTACTTAGTGATGAAGGGCATCTTAACGGCACACCTAATGCTTTATCAGTAACGAAGTCAAATACCTTTCTGAAGCTCTCCGCTCCTTACTTCCATAGCTTGTTCGACTTGATACACCAGAGTTTCACCTGGTTCTAAGTTGATCTCCACTAAGCGCTCAGTAAATTGCTTTTTTCGAGTCAACAAGGTTGCTGTGAGAATGATTCCACAAACCACGAGAGAGACAACTGCAAAGATGGCGGTGGTCCGCATAATGGTCCACTTTCTTGAGGCAGGTTTCCCTCCTTTAAGACCATCTTCGACATAATCGTTAACTGGAGTTTCCCTTTCGTAATGCGCTTCCTTTTTCTCTGGAAAATCATCCATGATCGAGGTTGAAGCTGTGCGACAACTCCGTTCTGTAGCAACGAGAGCGGGGACGGCGACGGGGACTCCAAAACCCGCATAAGACTGGGGAGAGAACGCCGTCTTGGCGGGAATTTCTAAACAGTTAAGCAGCCATTACAAAACGCCGCTTATTATGTCTTTGAAAGAAGTTCGAAATCAACTTTTGATTAGCCACAGTGATGGTTTGATAAACGATGAGGAACTTCTACTCCTGTACGATTTAAGCAGGTCCGATAATGTCGATCTTCCGTATAATTCTTATCCTGGTTTTGACTTCTATGATTTAGAAGACGACGAGTGCCGTTCAGAGTTTCGTTTCTACAAGAACGACTTACCATTTCTAGCTGAAGTATTGGGGATTCCTGAGGTAGTGGAATGCTATCAAAGAAGTATTTGTAGTGGATTGGAGGCTCTTTGCATTTTTCTAAAGAGACATAGCTATCCAGCATGTAGGTACTAATGAAGTCATATTACCTCTAAAATAACTACATATTTTCCAAGTACTTTTGGTTTGAATTTTAAAATGACCTCCCATCCCCCCTCTCCAAAAAAAGGCTAAAATCTTCTTGTTGTCACAAAAAAAGAACAAATATGCAACCAACACAAATATCAAAATCGAATATTTCAAACTTAATAAAAGGTTTGCTCCTCCCTATGCCTTTAACATTTCCATGTACCCCATCTGCCTAGGTAGGGGGGCTTGTGACCCTGTACGTTTCATAAGCCACGCCCAATATCCAGATACAAAATTATTTTAAGTAATCCTCATCTATGAGTCATTACCAGGTGTGGAATCTGGTGACTAGTAGTCTAGACCGCAATATTATTAACCTGCGGTGTGCGTTCGGCACATGCACAGAGACAGTTAAAAACATGTGCTCGAGTGCATGAGAGAACCACAATGTGGAAACTTGTACTCGCTATGTACTCGTTGTGTTGTTTTACTAAGCGTGGCCGCCCCGTTTTATTCTGTCACTGTTAGAAGTTTCTGATTAAGTATTCGTTGATTAAAGTCGATTAATTCAGTCTTGTGGTTTACACAAAATGGTGCCGTGACCAGGGTCCGATCGTTTCTTCAATGAAAACAAGTGACAGCGAACTGATAGCTCGTGGTGGAGCCGAATCTTAAGAACTTCTCAAGTAAGTTGAATTCACAGTTTATGATGGCGGAGAAAGCTGACCAACTTAAGGATTCTCTGAAAATCGCCGTCAAAAGGAGAGGTAAGTTGCGTCGCATGTTTACTAATGAAGGCAAGAAACTCGCGTTAATCTTCGACTAAGCTAACGAAGCCGAAATTGCGGAAGATGACGTTGAACAGTTGAAAGCTGGTCAACAAAAGCTCGTAGATGCAAGACCCGAAATGAGGCAACTGGACAAGGAAATTCAAAACCTTCACGTAATACTAGGAGAGGAGGACACAGCAGATCAAGATTTCGTCGATGCGGACAATATTTCTGATACGCATTCAGCCTTGTTGAGACAAATCGAGAAACTCCTCCTTCGCGACCAGCAGCTGCAGAGCTCTAAATCCATCCCACATGCCGACTCGGGTGGCTCCAAACGGCTGAAATATTCTGCACTCAAGTTGCCGAAAATGTCATTGCCAGTCTTTGATGGGGATCCAAGGAAATGGCTCAGCTTCTGGGATGTTTTCAAGTCCGAAGTGCACTATGTGAAGAATATCTCAAAAGTCACGAAGCTCAACTTTCTGAAGGGCCAGTTATCAGAGCATGTGAAAGTGAGAGTGGAAGGTATCATGGCCACTGAAGATAACTACGATTTGCTGGTTGAAACACTACAGGTTAATTATGGTGACAAAACTGCTATCAAAAATGCTCATTGTGTTGCTCTAGTTACAATGGTTAAGCCACAGCACACAGCTTCAGCTTTGCGCAACTTCTATGACAGTCTTATGAGTGACATGAGGTCTCTTGCCACACTGGATCTTCCCACAACGAGGTATGGAGACTTTTATGTTCCAATATTGCTTGAAAAGCTCCCAGAGAAGCTGTTGACCAATGCTTTGAAAGAATATCCATGTGCCAATCCCACCTTTTACCAACTAATTCTGATGATACACAATGAAGTTAAAAGGCTTGAGCAAGTTGTCTATATATTAGTAATAACAAACAACCATGCAAACCCAAACCTCCATCTCCTCCAAAAGCTCCACCTTCTTCAAAACCTCCATTGCCCAAGGTTCATCCTATCAATGGTTTCTTGAATGCAACAGTTCCACTGGGTACAGCCACCGCACTTCCTGCAGCAGTAACCCCTTCTGATCAGTATAAATCAAAGAAGTTTAAACAGTTTAACAGGCCAAAGAAAGTTCTATGTCGCTTCTGTGGGTCTACCAGTACCCACAATACATTTCAATGTGAACTTTCTATCCAGGATAGAATCTCTGCAGTTAAATCCAAGCAGTTGTGCTTCAATTGTCTCAAAGGGGGTCATGCTACTACTCAGTGTCAATCGCAGTTCAGTTGTTCGGTTTGTCGGCAACCTCATCATACTACACTTCATGGAGCTTCAGGTCTTCAATCGTCACTGACTTCCCCTCCTGAATTAATCAGTATGCATGCCGCACCTGCTTCAGACAACACACTGTATGGTGACCCAAGCATCACTCCCACCCTCCCATCAAGCTTTTCCAACCACAACTCTGAGCATGGGCTCAATCCAAATGAGACTTTGTACTCATGCCCTTCAGAGTACAACACCGTGACTTCGTTCCACAGTCAGTCTAACCCAATTATTCTGAAAACTGCTGTCACTTCAGTCAATAATGGTGTAATCACTAAAACAGCAAACATATTTATTGATGAAGGATCGTCTCTTTCATACATCACCACACAGTTAGCTAAGGAACTCTGCATTAAACCTCATTGCAGCAAGACTGTGCGTATTAACACATTTGGTGGGGCTACTTCCAATAATATGTACCCAGTAGGATCAGTCAACCTCATGACAGATGAGGGAGCAATCAGTGTAGACACTCTCATCAAAGATGTTATCATCACTCCTATTGATCGCACTAGTTGGGCCGATAGCCTTAAATCTCCTCACATCACCAGTCTTCAGCTTGCAGATGACTTCAGTCAAACCCAATTTCCTGTTCAAATTCTTATTGGTCTGGATGCAGTGTGGCAGTTCCTGAAACCTGATGTCATCTATGGCTACCCTACTGCTCAAGCGTTTAGTCTGGGATATCTAGTTTCTGGAAGACTCTTTCCAACCACTGACAGTACCAATGATTCCCAAACAGCTTCACAGTGTCTTGCAGCAGGTCACTCCCTTGACAGCTTTTCCTTTGATGACAGTGAATGGTATAGTTATACTCGTGCAAAGGATCTTTAGGTCCACAACAAAGTTGCAGATTTCCTTAAAATTGAGACACTGGGAATAGAGGACCCCAGGGATACCAGTCAAGAGGAAGATTTCCTAGAGCGCTTTCAATCCCAAATCACATACCCTGATGGAACCTACTTTGTTCCACTGCCGTGGCTGGACAATCACCCTCCTCGCTCTACCTTCGAACTTCAACCTTGCTCACAGCCGTCTGCAGCAAGTAAAGAAGAGGCTCCTCAAACTGAATCTTTGGACACTTTATGCAAACACCATTGCTGACCAAATTGACAAAGGCTATGTGGAAGCTATCCCTTCCAGTGAAAATCCCTTGAGTAAGAGTGATGCTCATTATCTGAGCCACTTCTTCGTTCTACGTACAGAGAGCGAAACAACACCCATTCACGTTGTATTTGCAGCCAATGCAGGCCATGTCTCTCTAAACGATTGTTTATACACCGGCCCCTGCCTTCTCAAATCATTGAACACAATCATTCATCACTTTAGAGCTAACAAGTTTGCCCTTGTTGCTTACATTGAGAAAGCCTTCATGAGAATCAGAATTAATGAAGAGGACCGTAACTATGTCCGATTTCTGTGGTTTGAAGATGGTGACCCAGACAAACAAATTAAAGCTTACCGCTACACATCTGTCTTCTTTGGAGGAACAAGTACTCCATTCATCCTTAACTCCACAACTCTTCATCATCTTTCTAAGTATGAGAAAGATCCAGTTGTCAAATTTGTTGCTCAAGACCTTGAAGAGAAGCTTTACTGTGACAATGTGTTTACTGGAACAGATGATGAGGATACTGCCATTCAGTATTACAACATCTCAAGGCATGTTATGAAGGATGCTGACATAAATCTCCACCAGTGGTTTACAAATTCGCCAGAGCTGACCACCATTATTGACAAGATGAGGACTGGTTCTGAGAGAAATCATGCTGGCCTGTTAGGTATGAAGTGGAACCCTAGGGAAGACACGTTACAGTTTCCACGGAATGCCAATGTCATCCCTCCTGACGTGAAGTTCACCAAACGACGCGTCCTCAGTTCTGCTTCCTCAACATTTGATCCTATTGACCTCATCTCCCCTGTACTTGTTCCAGCCAAGAAATTCATTTCATCTCTCTGGGATAAGAGATCCCTGACGAACTCTACCAGCAGTACAACCAAATCGCCAAAGAAATAGAAGCAGCTTTAGCATTTGTCACCTCACGTCACTTGGACTTTGACGAAGCTTTACCAGTAGCAATGCATGTATTTTGTGATGCATGCCTCACCACTGCAGCCGGTTGTTGTGTCTTCTTTGCTCAGAGCGAGAGGGTCAGATTCATTAGCTCCAATGTCAAACTTTCGTCATCTAAACATGCACGAACAGTTCCCCAGTGGAATTAATTGCCATGGTAATGGGTGCTCGCCTTGGTGCAGCCATAAGAGAAATTTTCAGCAAGGATTTCCCATCCATCTCATGCCACTATTGGACTGACTCCACCATCTGTCTCCATTGGCTGTTCAGTATCAAACAACTGTCAGTATTCATTCGCAATCGGACAACAGAGATCTTGAGGCTTACTGACCGATCCAGCTGGTCCCATGTCAGTTCAGCAAACAATCCTGCAGACATACTCTCCCCCGGATGCAGTGCAGATGAGCCACAATCAGCATTGTGGCAAAGAGGTCCTCCATGGTTAACAGACCATACGCTCTGGCCAAGATGGAGTCCTCACAGGTTTGCAGAAGACGATGTTGTCTCAGCCACAGCTGTAGACAGCCATGTTCATGGTAAACAGTCTAACACAGACAGTCTCCAAGACTTGATTGACATCTCACGCTTCCAGTCCTATGAAAGCATGCTTCGCTCAATGTCCTATGTCTTGAGATTCATTTCCAACCTGAAGTATGCCTCTGATAAGTCACGTGGGTCACGCCAGT